AGTACCGGACGACATTCTTAACATCGATTCAAATGGAGGACCAATGTTCACCGAGAGTTCATATAAATCACTCGAAACACGGGGGACATAGTTCAATTTAGCCGAGTGGTAGTAGCTTCCCCTGGTGGTTTTGGAAAGGCTCTCCAGTTCGTTCCTGGATAATTGTCCGTGGTCCTGGGACATGCCCCTTCGTGCGAGCTGACATTTATGTGTAGTCTTGTTCGCCTTGGCACTTATCATGCGTTATTCCCACTCATTTCTTGTTCCTTGGATGTTACTTCCCCACACAACTCATTTCAATCATCTTACGGAAAGCTGGGTATGTATGTTTCGTCGATCATTTCTGTCCTGGCCATTTTGGAGGTCAATCTAAATGCGTGTTGATATTTTCTCGTCAATACACAGAATCCTGAAAGCTTGCCTTGATTTACCGCCAAGGTTACACAACGATCTGCTTTTGAACCTCATCAACAGAGGTTTGTTCAATTGTTTGCATATAAATATGACCAGGCTCGGATTGTTGAGTACATTGAAAACGGATGCTATGTGGTTCATCTCTACATAATGTCAAGAATCCAAATCCACCAATGCACCGTCGAACATGTCGTAATCGGAGCCAGCGGCAGTATCGTCCTCATCATCGCCGCTGCGAGGTTCTGAACACTTCAATGTCCAATCCAGCTCTTCCTGTTTCACTTCTTCGACAGTGCGCCGCTTGACGCGGGCTAGGATGTAATCCAGCTGCAGGAAGTTAGAGTCATCTACGGCGAATTTGCGATGTTTTCGCCCAGCGATGTGCTGTATCCGGTCAGCACAGTAGTACTAAACAATAGCAACAGCCATACTTTTGTGAAATCATCGAACTTCATCCGACAACATTCGCAGTACCCGGGCTTGCTGCCTTCGTCCCTCTTGGGAAGCCTCATCGTGTTCGTGCTGCGGCTTTTCTTGAGCATAGGACGCCTTTCCGGTACGCTGACGGGCGGCCCCATGTCGCCGCCCTTGGCCTTGGTAGAAGAGACCTTGAGCGATGTCAGGACCTCCTGTCGTCCGCGTAGAGAAGGAGGTAGCGATGAAGCCTTGAATGAGAGACCAGCAGTGGATGTCGTGCCTGTCGTTGAAGTAATTCCGACGCTGTTCCCAGAAGCGGCTGTGTACCCTCCGGGAAAGCATCCTGAAACGTTAGCGGAATCTGCTACATCGCCATCGCCATCCAGGTCGACAAATGCCTGCTCATCCAAAAGCTGCGCGCGGCGATGCATGTTGTTCATCGAGGCGGACCGTCTGAGATCGCCACTCTGGTTTCCTGCCAGCAGACGTGCCTCTGCCTTGCGCTTCATGGCCGCGACTCGTAGCATCTTGTCTTGCTGCCGTTCCTGGTGTTTATCGGCTTCTTGCACCTCCAAACGCTGTGCCTTTTCCCATCGCTTCTTTTCCTTCTCGTCAAAGGGTAGAAAGGGACCCCTGGCCAGTGGATGACAATGCAGAACAGGCCAAGGAGCCCTTGTATTTGCCGCGTCACGGCCCTTTGGAATGGCGTATTCCTGGACTGCGACCGTCGCCAACTCTTCGCGAATGTCCTCTACCATCATAAAATAGGTCCCGCGGCCGAAGTACTTGTAGTCGTGCCGCTTCTGAGTCGGGTCGCGCTCACTTGTTCCGTGAAGTCGCTCCGATTGCAACAGAGTGGATAGTGTCCGCTGAGGCGGCGCAGAGGTGGAAGCGGCGACAGTGGAGGCCGGTACGCTATCGAGGCAACGATCGACCACACTCTGGAGTTTAGGCACGCTCCATACTTTCGTGTTCTCGAAGCTCTTTGCCTTTGAGATGAGATCTGCGGTCGGCGCAATATCATCGGCGGCGCTGTGATGCGGGGCGTGAGCAGGAACCTAGGAGTAAGATGACGACGGGGACTGACGGTCCCTTGAGTTTTATGGGACTCTTAAGTCTGTTTCGGGGAATGTCGTTCTCTTTGTTGGCAGTGAGTACGGGGGGGGGTTCTGATGGGGTAGGCTGGTCTGTGATAAGATGCGTGACGTTGTTAGAGAAAAAGTTTTCGATGGTCTAGTGGACAGTGGCATCAGCGGAGGGGAGTCTCTGAGCAGGCAAATAACCACGCACACCGCCTAAGAGTCGTATCTTGGCTTGCGCAAGCTTCACAGAGGACGCGTTGTCGGGGTGGATGTTACCCGTATCGAAATAGAACTTCCAGCTCGGAAAAGCGCGCCGGTACTTTTCTTTGAACTCTATCCTCTGCTGCTCGCGCTCCGCATGTCGGCGTGCCTTTTCCTTGTCCACCTCTTTCTCGCGATGGCTGGGGACTGAAGCCACTGCCTTCAGACGCTTTGGCACGACGTCGAGGGACTGGTCGGGAGAGCGGGGACGCTTTGAACCGGACACGGACCTGGATTGCTTGACGGGAGGATGTGTGCGCCGGAGGGTAGCCATGGGGGAGACAAGATACGAGGTAGGAGTGTGGTCAACAGAGGACCGTGACGAGGTCATGTGATCGTACCGCGTGTCTGCTCTAGGGTTGCGGGAAAAACCGGGTGGTAAATTCCAATGTAATTTACCGCGATCACGTGGGAGGTAAATTACCTATTAATGGCTGGTTGGTCAATTTGGACGCGTATTTTACCATTCACTACATCTTACACGTGATGCAACCTCTGCCGTGTCTGTTTCATGCATTTGGCTTGCTCTGGACAGGGTAATCCCTAGGATTGATTACAGTATAGTTGTGTTGCAATAAATACATGGTTTACATCGCGAGGAGGCATCGCGTCGTGACTTTCCGAATCAGGTCAGAAAATTTTCACCATCCCACCATGTCCGTCCCAACGCCCAACTACGAAAAAGAACTTAACGACCTTTTGGAGATTTTGAAGCACAACTTCATTGACTACACTCCGAGTCAGAATCCCGGCCAGACTGAAACTGCATCTGGTGAAGCGGCAGTCAGTCATGACCTTGAGATGCCATTCAGTCCGCGCAATGCCAACGGCACTGTCCCCTTCAAGCCCCGCGGACCAGCGTTGGAAGCTGTGGTACAGGTTCTTCGCGAGCACATCACAGGAACCACGGAAGCAAATGTCCTGCTTGTAACCTGTGTCGATGATCTGCTGTATGGGGCTTGCGCCACTATTGACGAACTGGAAATGCAGGTGCGTGAAATTGTTCTTACAGATTATTTCCAACTGAAGGTTTCACTCCACAGATTTCAGGTGTCGTGTCTGACAGTACGGAAAATGTCAAACTTGGGAGGAAGATAGGCTTGCCTCGAGGAGCTTTACATTGCAAATAGTTAGCTTGTGAATGTAGAATTCCGATGTCAAGTGAAGCGCGCGGATGCGCGCTCCGCCCGGAAGCAGGTTGAGGATTTTTGGGGCGAAAATTACACGTGATCGCATCATGTGATCGTCCAAAAATGGTAAATTACTCGGTAAAATACATTTGTTGCAGGCCGAGGAAAATCTGGGGGGTGTATATTACCCAGTTTGTTGCACCCCGCCGAGTTTTTTCCCGCAACCCTAGTCTGCTCGCGGCCATGTCGAATTATGGGACGACCCGGCACCACCCCGCCGCAGCTGCTCCCAAGGGTGTTACTGACTATCACACGACCCTCTTCCGCCGCCTCAGCTGGGAGGGAACAGTCCCCCTCGAAATTCGCGTCGACCCCCAGGAGCTCCCTGCAAACTCGGATCGCGGCCTCGAATGCTATTTCATGCAGGCCCCTCGCGTCAGCTATCTCCCTCTTCTCATGCCGGAGATCCGCCGCTTTTTAATGGATGTAGTCTTTGACGAGGCTGCTGCCAAGGTTCTCAAGGAAGAGGATTGGTGGTTCGAGTGCGACGACGGCACCTTGCTCAAGTGGTCAGTTTGGCTTCTCCCCCGCGCAGTCCCTGCGCCCAATAACATCCAGGCACTGGCCAATTGGTCTCATCTATGACAACCACACCATCTTGGCTACAATCCGAGCAGGCTCATCTGTCTCGTCCATAGCAACTCCCTTGCGTCTCATATTGCATCTTGCATCCCCCCCAACCGACAAGCTGCTGTTGTCCCCTAGCGCAGATTCCTGCAAACAGGCATTCATGGGGCAGCTGAAGGAGGCCGATTTTATGCGCTGGGGTAACACCAAGCGCATAACCGGCCTCAGGAAAGTCGACCAAGATGGTCTATGGGAAGGCATTAGAGAACGTGAGCCACTCCGACTGTCAATCTTTGGACGTAACCAAAGCTCGCATCTCACAGACAATTTTGACGATTATTGGCGCGTAGCGTCTAAAGTGACGCCTACGACGGCCCCGAATCGTTCTCAGTCTCCTGGGCCGCCTCCTTCCTCCGTGTCGATGCACGGCCGACCTCCGTCCGCCGATCCGTCAGGTCCCTCCGAGCGCGACGGTGCGTATAATGTGCGCAGTGTACCTGTAAGGGTCTATCTGCCAGATGGGCCGGTTATCCAGGATCTCGTCCCTCCACTTTTAGAAGACGGTACGTCTCCCTACCCGAATTAATACAATGCCTGACTCATCGCTAGGCACACCACATACCCTTTCCCATTTTCTGTCAACGCACGTCCCCCTTCTTTTTCCCCCTCGGCCGCCTGCGCCGCCTCCCTCACGGAGCAACCCTCATCCCCAAACCCCGTCTGTTCCTGAACTCGCTTATCCCCTCATACAAGGTGTTGTGACGCCTCCAGAGTCCGAAATGGCGTGGCTAGGGGCATGTCTTGCGGGTGCAGATGGGTGGCTTAACATATGTGTGGGTATCAGTAAGAAGTAGTACGGGGTCGTGTTTCTACATATTCATTTTCTGACTGTTGGATACGATGCGTCATCCTTCTCGACCGCGCGAATATCTTTATTTTGAGCGTTCCTTTTGGGAGCATAGCCTGAGCAAGGTATTTCAGCAAACGAAATAGATAATTTAACATTGCTTATCCTCGCCTCATCCTAATTCTTCTGAGGCCATAATGGCCCAATCTCACGGTGTAATAATGCCTCCTGGCCCAGTTGGTTAAGGCACACGACTGTTACATCTTTCGGACATCGTGGGATCGTGAGTTCAAGTCTCACGGAGGCAGTATTTTTTCTTTTTCAAGCTCGACGAATGGTCTGTGTCTCGGATGAACACTTCTGAGGTCCCGGAAATATGTATGTGGGTTTGTCTGCATACTGATTCCAAAAATCGCAGCATCTACTTGATTCCAGTGTTGACGTCTATGAGATTCGTCTTCAAGCAGACCAACTCGATTTCCACCGGACCACTGTGTAGTGCCTCGCCAGAGTCTTTCTACTGACGCGGAGCTCATTGACCGTCGTGCGGAACTTTCGGAGAAGTTGGGCGATATCAACGATGAAGTGCCAGCTTACTTCGATGGTTTCAGCCCCAGTAACGAAGTTTTCCGGAACGCAATGCGCGGACGTATGGATAAAATCAAGCAATCTGCAAAAAACTTTCACTGCCACGGCGCCTGCAGAGCAAGAACATGAAGATGAAGACCAGGAACACGGCGAAAACCGTGCCAGTGTTCAACGACGACTGATTTTCTTGGGACACAGAAGCGCGGTATATATTCTTCCCTCTCGTTCTCGGAAAAATGTACACCCAGAAATGTTCAAGACGTAATAGTGACAGTGAGGAGCGTCGTAATCCCATCGGTGGTGATGTCTGAATGGAGTATGAAGGAGGAAAGTGAAGCGCAGTGATGAAATGCATACTATGGTTAACGCTATATATAACGAGGAAAGTTAGCCAATGCAAGGGACAGATATCTGTCACGTACCCATTGGCCCCAGGAGCAAGAAGACCCGTCAAGTTTTGTGCTGTCGTCGAGTACTTCACTCCGTTAATTGATGTGTCGCCAACTGCACCCGCGACAAGCAAATCTCGACCTGGACTTGATCAGCCTTGCGGCATTTTCAAGACTAAAAGCACTTCACCTATGTTGTACCCATCCGGAACGATATTGTGCCCGTCTGCTACATTCTAATTTGATGTTTTTCAACGTCTCCATATAAGCTAAAGCGAGTGACACGTACTTCCTCCTTTGAAACACTGAATTCGTATAAGCGCAAGATTTGAATAGAAAAACGGGCGAGCTTACGCCAGGAATAGGGCGCCAGTGTCTGCCTCACTGCCGTTCTGACGGAATACGCTACACAATCATGAGTTGGCATATTAAGGCATTGCTTGGCCGCTGTACCGGAGGTGGTTTCCGCCAATAAGGCTCTCCAAGCACGTTCCCAAGGCGGGATCACCGTAGTCTTGGCGGTATTCAACCTGCAATTTTTCAGGATCCTAGCTATCGACGAGAAAATATTAACACACAGTTTGATTAACCTATAAAACGGTCAGCGACATGAATTATTGACGATAAAATACGATACCCAGCCGTGTCCGTCACCCAAATTGGCGCTCTGGGGTCCACCTGTGCAGCATTAGACGTGATTTGAACTAAGATAAGGGAGACACGGACCCAAGTGAAGCCCGAGACATTCAAAAGAACTGTAGATGTTTAAGAAAGGTGGTGAAATCAATTAGACCAGATGCATACAATCCGATTGCTTGAGCAAAGTTGAGGAACCCAGCGTCCGTGAGGACGGCAGGAGAGCTTTCACCAGAGATAATAACCTTGACGAAACTTGGTCAGGTTTACAGGAAAATTCTTCACGTTAGTCGAGGAAACATACGTTGAGAGGCTCTCCAAGATCACCAGAGGCACCGAAGCCACCAGTTGCTACATTAACGGCCGAATTAAAATGTGTTCCTCATGTTTGAATTGATTTGTATGAACCATCGGTGAGCATTTGCCCTCCATTTAAATCGGGGTTGACAAAGTCCGTGGCCCGCTTGCTGTGAGGTACTGCGAGGGCCAAAGAAGCGAGCATCAAGACGGAGGAAATGAACATGGTGACCGAAGGGTATTGCGAACTGAGAAAGGCGGGGGTGGGGGCCAGTTCAGGCCAACCATGGATGGAAGACACCTTTTAAGTATGGGCAAGCGAGAACGTTCCCAAATCATGCGGTGAACATATGGTCTCCATCATCGCATGTGCAACCAGGTGAGAGTTAACGTTGTTAAGAGAGAAGGGGAATATTGAGGTTAAAAATAGGCCAGATGTCCGGCAAGCCGCTCAACGGCGAGCGCTCAACACCGGTGCAAAGCGCGGCGGGTATGGAAACCGTTGATCACTCGCTTCGGCCCACAATGTCCCTAGATGGTAACACACTGCACATACACACTGTTCAAGTTCCGCAAACTGGGCCTCTCATGAATTCCACACAGAAGCCCAAGTTAGTTATTGTGTGACGGGAGGAACGTTCAATGGAAGCAATATCTACCAATGACCCTCGCGAACGTTTACAAAGCCATATGGCCACGACTTATAACAATATCAACTCGGCCGGCGTTGAAAACGCTGGATCGATATGCTAACATCATCCATCCATCGTTCCTCCATCTCTACCGTCAGACTTTGGGAGACTTTGCGCTCATCCTGCCCTCCTATAGCCGCTCTGAGGAGGGATAACGCAGTATTGACGGCAGGCGCCTGCGAGTCTAGTATGTGGCCCACAAATTCTGCCCAGACTCTGGTCATCGTGGATGTGTCCATGCCGTCGTAGGCTTCGGCGGAAGGCAAACCATCGGAACAGAGAATTAAAAACCATGGTCGACTAGGAAGGTCGCGATGGTACACGTCCGGGATATTCGAAACATATGGCGGCTAATTTCATCAGCCGAGCCGCCACGATTAACTGAGTGAGGGACAAACGGTGGATATCCGTGATGCACATTGCTTGAGGGTTCCTTGCGATATCCAGTCCTGATCGAGATTCGAAAAAACGCGTGACGTGTAAAGGGAGGGCAGTTTGAGCCAGATATCGCCAAGAGCTTATGGGGGATACTATTAGAAGGAATGAATACGGGAATTTGCTAAACAAAACACCTCTGGTAGGCTCTAGAAAACCTAGTATTCTGCCATTCTTGACGCAGTCTGGTTCTCTGGGGTGTCCAGCTCTTATCCGTTGCGCCTCTCTGGGATCGTGTCCAGCGTGAAGCTGATTTATCAATGAGCCCGTCCACGCTCCGCTGCGATGGCGGAGTCCCAACACTAGATAAAAGGATGAATAGCTAAACGCAAGGGCGACCATCTCATTTATTGACCTGCGTGGCAATCTTCACGGGAAATAAAATCAGATATATATGCTCCAGGCTAGAAAACAAGATCGAACCTAGACATGTTCTTTAGTTCACTCGACAAGATTGCCACTCAAGACCTTACCTCCAAGATTCGCTATCCACACATTTTTGTCGTTTGGATCAGTCAGACTAGGATCATCTCTCTTCAGATCAGTTGAACGGGCAGTGGTGGTGATTTTTACCTCAGAACCAGCGTCGTTCCGCCGAGGCACTGAGCAGCTGCGCTGCGGTTTCGACCGGTGCTGTCCCTCTGAAATGCGTTTTGGACGTCTCTATCCGTCAATCGGCTTAGACGTCTCAGATCTCGAGGGAAGATATCTAGAAAATTTGACGAGATCGAATCGTCAAGCCGCACAATCGAATCCCGAAGGATTTGGCTGACGCGGCCGGGTGGAATTTGTCGAGCGCCTGATTCTTGGAGAGCAGCACCGAGGCTTTCCTTCAGATTCCTCGGGAGCACTCGTGCGACGTAGTCAACAGTGTGGTGATTTACATGTCCTGGAATAAGAAGTCATGGACCCACAAGTGTAATATGGTGTGAATATTTACCATCAAAAATACTGTTGAACTGCCATGTCCCACCAGGAAAATTCCATTCCTCTACAACAAAGCGGTCTTGGTTTTGATATACATGCGGAGAACATGGTTGAAAGCTCAGGCTATCGACTTTGTGGTTAGACCGAGGACAAGCGACACGATTCAATTCTGCCGTAAGAAAAGGTTCCGACAGTATTCGGAATGTATGGCCTATGTTCGTTTTTCCAAAATGGCTCACTTCGGCCAGAGCAAGTAGGTGTTCAGAGGAATCCGCCGCAGGCAATGAGACGACACTGGGATGCATCAGAGATACGGAGGCCAGCAGGCAGAAGAATACTTGATATTTAATGGGCGCATCTCGCCAGCCCGTCGGAAAATCTGAAGCTGATGTAATCAATCTACGTTGTAACCAAGGCAAGGTGAATGACAGGGAACACTTACGGAGACCTAAGAAATCACATGGAGCGCGGCATTCGATTGACTGGAATGAGGGAGCCCATCAGGAAAAGAACTTACGACGAGTTGTGGCGTCTCTGAATATGCATGGCGTTAATGAGGCGGATACAAAGGCTCAGTGGAAAGGCTTCGATGATAAGCTGGATCGAGGACCTTACTTAATGCGTTCGCTGGGAGGAAGTGAGATAAACGCTCTGTAACAGTTCAAAGCAAGGTCACAAAGACCAGAAGAGAAGTGGATGGGCAATGTTTTCACTGACCTAGCCATGTTTAAGACTATTGGATATCTCCAACAGTGATCGGCGGTGATGGTGCTTGGCAGCTCAGACCGTCGAGGATATGGCGCAAATTCGGGTTCCGGGTACACATAGATAGGAGTGGACTAGCTGCGGATATGAGGCCCTCTTTTCCATCTTCTCCGGAGTCGCCGTAACTCATCACTGCCGCACCTCGAAGCTGGCGAATGCCAGATCATAGCCCCCAAATTCGTAGTTGATCTTGTCAGTGCGTTTATAGTCACGGATTCCAGGGATAGCGGATAATTTGTCATCGACAGTCGGGGGGATCAGGGCAGCTTTGAAAGCGCGCTGGGCAGCCTCGATGGCGCTTTCGCCCAGCTCGTTCTCGTTGTCCTCGCTGGAGATGAACAGGGTGAGGCTGAGCCGGCCAGGCTGGAATATAGTGACCACGCGTCGAATGAGTGACAAAAGATCAGGAATGGACTCGGGATCCTGCGGGGATGGATGCGCCGGGGGCAATGGGACATTGCACTCGAAGCTGGCGTACGACCAGCCCTCTTCGGGAGTTACATGAATAGTATAGTAACCCTCCCCGGCGGCGTCGTTAATTTTGGAGACGGGATCGGCCCCCCATTTGATGAGCGCGTT